CACGGCCGAGCGTCGCCGCCCCGACGCCCGGCGAGCTCCGCTGCCCCTCGCCTCCCGCCGGCCCTCCTCGCCAGATCCGGCGGCCGCAAGGCCGGATCCGGCTCCCCCGCGCTCCGGTGAGCCCCGCTTCGACGCCGGCCGCCTCTCCTCCAACTCCGGCGAGCTCTCCGCCTCGCCTCGAAATCCGTGCAAAACTAGAGGTTGACCCCAAATTTCCCTAAGTCCCGAATATTTGCATATTTTTAGCTCTTGTTCATCGCATCATAACTTGCTGCATACTGCTCCGTTTCATGCGTATGATACATTAAAATGTTTGTTGTGAGATACTCTTCATTTCATTCCTCTGTGCCTTGTTCATTTGAGTCCATCTTGATGCCTGAATCATCGTTGCAAGAGTGCTATATGATGTTAATCTGCTGAAACTGTTATAACTTGGTGATTTGTTATTTTTGTTGCATTTGATGTGTGCGTCCTATGAGCATGAGCTCTACATGTATTTTGTACTACATCATGCCATCTTTACGGGGTTGCCATCCATGTATTTTTCTGAGTTGTGTAGTGAGCGCATCAAGCTTGTTAAGTAGTGTACTTTCTATTGTTGTTTTGCTAGGCTGAATCTGTTATTTCGTGATGCTATGTGAACCTGCTGCTACAAGTCATTCTATGCATAATCTGGAGATGTTCACTAAGTATGTTTTGTTATACATGTCATGCTCTATCCATCCATGCTCCTGGTTGCAATTATAGTCTGCTGTAGCTTGTTGTAATCTTGCTCTCAAGTTGCTAAATAATGTTGTTGTCGTCCTGTTAACATTAAGTTCAGATTTGCCATGAGCTTTGCTAGTGATCCTTGTACGCTATGAACTTGCTCTTGCCATGCTTAGCTTCATAAACATGTCATTTTCTGTTGGTTGCCTTGTTATGCCATGTAATGCTCTATGGTGAGTGGTACAAGCTCACCAAGATGCCTACTTATTGTTGTTCCTGCCATGTCTGAATCTGTCATATCATTTGCCATGTTTACATGGGTGCCATCATATTTTCTGTTCATTTTTGGCTCATGGTCATTAAAGGACTTTTGTTCTACGCATTTAGAAGTATCATGCCATGCCTTTGTTTGCCGTGTTAAGTTCCTGTAACATGTTGTTTGATAGCTCTAAACATTGCAACCTGATATTATTTATGCTAAGTCTGAAACTGTTATTGTTTGCAATCTTGCCATGTCTTTTTGAGCATGTTCTAGTGATTTCTGGAGATAGCTCAGTGTTCCTATTTTGTTATGCTTTACCTGTATATCATATCCATGCCTTTTGTTATCATGTTGAGCTGCTGTAGCATGTTGTTTTGATGCTTGCAATATGCCTAGTTGCTGTTTTAGACAGAGTGTTGTTATATCTTGTTTCATGTGTGTGTTGAACCGTTGCTCCGTTTTGAGTGTGCTCTATATGAAACTTGCTTGATTTTGCATGTAACTTCATATTATCATGTTGCATCCTTGTTTTGGGAGTGTTTGCTTGATGTTTTTATGCATTTTGCATCATAGCCATGTTTAACTTGTTTTGCTCATATCTTCTAGGCCATAGCTCCGAATTAAATGAACTTTATATGTAACTTGACTAGAATCTCGTGTAGATCATCATGGTGCATCTTAACTTGCTGTTTAACAACTTGAATATAAGGTTTATTCAGATCTGAACCAATTTCGAAATTTGCATATGAGGACTTACCGGATTTGTTATATGTTGTTTCCGGCCTCATTTAAGCTTGCCTTGATGTGTTGCTCTTGTTTGCATCATCTCTTGCCATAAGTAGCTTCATTTAGCCTTGTCATGCATCATACTTGGTTGAGTATCATGTCTTGTATATGTGTGGTGTGTTTACCATGTTGTGTGCTTCTTCTCGATAGTTCCCGTTTCGTTGCTATCGTGAGGACTCGTTCGTCTACACTTGGTTCGGCTTCATCCGTTCGTCTTCTTGATGGACTCGTTCTTCTTCCTTGCGGGATTTCAGGCAAGATGACCGCTACCCTAGATCTCACTACTATCATTGCTATGCTAGTTTCTTCGTTCTATCGCTATGCTGTGTTACCTATCTTTTGCTCCTCAAGCCTCCCAAATTGCCATGAACATCTAACCGTTGACACCCTTCCTAGCAAACCATTGCTTGGCTATGTTACTGCTTTGCTCAGCCCCTCTTATAGCATTGTTAGTTGTAGGTGAAGTTGAAGATTGCTCCATGGTGGACAGGTTTATGTTGGGATATCACAATATCTCTTATTTAATTAATGCATCTATATACTTGGTAAAGGGTGAAAGGCTCGGCCTTATGCCTGGTGTTTTGTTCCACTCTTGCCGCCCTAGTTTCCGTCATACTGGTGTTATGTTCCCGGATTGTGCGTTCCTTACGCGGTTGGGTGATTTATGGGACCCCCTTGATAGTTCGCTTTGAATAAAACTCCTCCAGCAAGGCCCAACCTTGGTTTTACCATTTGCCTCACCATCAACTACATTTCCCTTGGGAGTAATTAACCCGAGGGTCATCTTTATTTTAGCCCCCCCCGGGCCAATGCTTGTCTAAGTGTTGGTCCAAACCGAGCGATGTCCGGCACCCCCTGGGCAACCAGGGTCTATACCAACCCGTCATCTTGCTCATCCGGTGTGCCCTGAGAACGAGATATGTCCAGCTCCTATCGGGATTGTCGGCACAGCGGGCGGTCTTGCTGGTCTTGTTTTACCATTGTCGAAATGTCCTTTAAACCGGGATTCCGAGTCTGATCGGCTCTTCCTGGGAGAAGGTATATCCTTCGTTGATCGCGAGAGCTTATCATGGGCTAAGTTGGGACACCCCTGCAGGGTATAAACTTTCGAAAGCCGTGCCCGCGGTTATGCGGCAGATGGGAATTTTTTAATGTCCGGTTGTAGATAACTTGACACCAGATCCGAATTAAAACGCATCAACCGCGTGTGTAGCCGTGATGGTCTCTTTTCGGCGGAGTCCGGGAAGTGAACACGGTTTTGGGTTATGTTTGACGTAAGTAGGAGTTTAGGATCACTTCTTGATCATTACTAGCTTCACGACCATTCCATTTACTCTCTTCTCTCTCTTATTTGCGTATGTTAGCCACCATATCATGCTTAGTCGCTGCTACAACCTCACCACTTTACCCCTTCCATTCCCTTTAAGCTTTGCTAGTCTTGATACCCATGGTAATGGGATTGCTG